TGACGAATTAAATTAAATTCGGGGGTTCAATTCAATCCATTTATTAAACAAATTGTACAGAAAGTAGCGAGACGACAAAATATCCGCGTATTTAACAGAGAACTAAACTTGTTGACAATAAAATCAGCGCTGAGTTAACAACAAAACTGAGTTAGCTAGAAAACAAAAAAAAACTGTTTCTTGATTGACCGCTGATCGTCGATTCTGCAGAGCCGTAGAGAAAGAAAAACAAAATTACTTAATGAATAATAGGAAAAGGAATTGTAATGACAGGTGTGCTGTTGCTGTTCGATGTTGTGAGAGCCAGCGTTTCCGAAACTATCCAATCACGTTTTATTATATGGGCAAATCTAAAAAACAGGTAACCTTTGTGTTGTTTAGCTTTATTTTCACTGTTGTAAACTAAATCAAGCTGGTTGCTTTTGGATATAATTCATTGACGCATACTTGAAGCCTCAAAAAAAAAGTGGATCAACTTGCTGCATAACTTTTGAAATATCGGTGTTTAAATTAAAAAAAATAATGAAAACAAGTGATTTTTTTATGTAATTTTTAAGAGGGGCACAATTAATTATATCATAACTTTTGAAGCATACCATATTCTGATTTGAAATTAAATGGGCATTTAGCACTTATGTGTACACTTCATATGTAGTAGGAAAGAAAAGTGTGCACTCAACAATAACGAAATGGCAAGTAACTTAAAGTCTGTAGCTCCACATTTCACAAATTTCAAAATTTTCGGCTTATTGCGTATAGGTTTTGAAGCATTTAATTTTAAGAACTTTTTGAGTATGTATTGTATTCTTCAAACAATTACGAATAATTTGATACCTTTGTTGAAAATCATACTTGCCTTTCGAAAGACAAACCAAATGTATGTCAACATACTAATAGTTGTATGTTCTTTTTAAAGCAACCCTGTATTATTATCTACTTGTTCTTATATGTATTCTCTTTCATACTTTGGCGCTTGAAAATATACTTTCCTTTCTTTTTTGGCACTTCAAACCAATAGGTTATGGTCCCAGTCGCGCATTAAAGAAAAGAATAAAGTTTCTTTTTTGAAATTCGTAATTATGGTAAATACGAGTAGTTTGTATCAAATAGAGAAGCTGGATCGTGATAATTATGATATATGGCGTGTCCAGATGAAAAGCGTCCTAATCCATTTGGATTTATGGAGCGTTGTTGAGAAGAGGGACGGTGACTCGACGTCAGCTAAGGCATGGGAGGCCTCTGATGCAAAGGCATTAGCAACAATAACGTTATGTGTAACACCGGCGCAATTACACCATTTCAAGAACTGTACGACTGCAGCAGAGGCTTGGAAGAAGCTTGAAGAGATTTACAAGCCAAGTGGTCCGGTACGAAAAGTTTTACTGTACAAGAAGTTGCTAGCCATGCGCATGCAAGAAGATGATGATGTCAGCACGTACGTAAATGACTTTACAGCAGCTGTAGATAAATTGTCCGAGGTGGATATCACAATGGGTGATGAGCTTGTGGTCATAATTTTGAGGTCCAGTTTGCCAAAGGCATTCGAGAATTTTGTTGTGGCCATAGAATCCAGGGACACTTTACCATCGCTTGACGCATTTAAAATCAAGCTATTGGAAGAAGGAGAACGCAGAAAGGCAGCAAAAGATATCGACGGAAACATAGTGCAGCAGGCGTTCATGGCTAAGGGCAGCGGCAGCGGCAGCTACAACAACAAAAATGGTGCTAGTTTAAACGAAAAGAGAAAAGGCGGAAAAAAGGTAAAAAAAGGCGCGTGTTACAGTTGCGGCAAATTCGGTCATTTCGCTGCAAAATGCTCAGAAAAGGAATGTCAAAATATGATTCGAAGCAACAATCGAAAAAGCCAGATTCAAAGCAACAATGTCAAACGTCATTCTCAGTATTGGCTGCTCAGGATGTCAACATGTTGCATGAAAACAAATGGGTACTCGATAGTGGTGCAACATCACATATGTGTAGCGATAAACAACTGTTTACAAAGATCGAGCAACACCACGATACAATCCAATTGGCAAATGAAAACAAAGTCAATGCAAGCGGCATTGGAGATGTTGAAATTCTGATTGGCGATAGAAACGTCAAATTAAAGAATACTTTGTATGTACCTAAATTAAAAGGAAATTTTATTTCTGTCGGCAAAATTTTAAACAAAGGCGCAAAGGTGAATTTTTCGGATAAGTTTGCGGAAGTCGTTTACAATAAAGATGTTATTTTTCGAGCGAGCCGTGTTGGCGAGTTATTTGTTGTGAATGTGTGCAACAACAAATGTTTTTCTATGGTGAAAAATTCAGCTTTTATTTGGCACGACAGATACGGCCATTTAAACTTTCATTATTTAAAACAACTTTACGAAAAGCAGATGGTAGAAGGCAACGACAAAATTGAGATACCAGATCTGAAATGCACAACTTGCATGAAGACAAAAATATGTGCTTTGCAATATGATATCAGCGAAAATCTTGCAAAGGATTTGTTGGAGCTAGTGCATATGGATGTGTGTGGACCATTTCAGAAGCCTTCGCTAGGCGGGTCAAAATATTTTCTTCTGCTCACGGATGATTATTCGCGCAAAATGTACGTTTACTTTTTGAAGTCGAAAGATGAAGTTTACGACAAATTCTTGATTTTCAAGAATGCAGTTGAACGTCAGACCGGTAGGTGTGTTAAATGCGTACGGAGTGACAACGGCGGCGAATTTGTAAATAAACGATTTGATGAATTGTTTGGCGAGCTTGGCATTACGCGGCAGTTGACTGTGCCATATACCCCTCAACAGAATGGGGTTGCAGAGCGTACAAATCGCACAATCGTTGAAATGGCACGTAGTATGCTCGTTCATTCTGGACTTCCCGAGTCATTGTGGGCTGAAGCTGTAGCAACAGCGGTTTATATACATAACCGTTCACCTACAAAGTCGTTAATGAATATGACCCCGTATGAAGCATGGACTAAACGTAAGCCCAAAGTCAGTAATTTCAAAATTTTTGGATCTCTTGCTGTGGCGTTGGATAAGAATCAACGTAAGAAGTTCCAGGCGAAGGGCAAAGAATACAGAATGGTTGGCTATTCTTTGACAGCTAAGGCATATCGCTTGTATGATGCAGAAAGTCATGAAGCGACGCGACGTTTTGTTTGAAGAAAGTGATACCAGAGGAACTTTATTTAATGGGTGTCGAGATGCAGTCAACTGTAATGATTTGTTGACTCCAAATGCCATGAACACTCCAGACAGCAGTAATGATAAGAAATCAATGAAGCAAGCGAGCATTTTGAAGATGATAAAGACAGTGATGAATCAATTTATTTAAGCGGCACGAGTGAAACCGAAAGTTCTGAGACAATTGCAGATGAAATCTTAGATGAAGCAAAGCGAGGTCCGGGTAGGCCAAAGAAGGAACTAACTGGTAGACCTGGTAGGCCAAGAAAAGTTTATAATACGGTTAATATGTTGAAATATGCAGACTTCGAGGTTCCTAGCACGGTTAATGAAGCATTGACTGGTAAATTCGCAGATGAATGGAAAAGAGCCATGGACGTTGAGTATGCAGCCTTAATAGCGAACAAAAGATGGACGTTAACTGATATGCCAGAAAATCAGAAAGCAATTGGCTCAAAGTGGATTTTTCGTGGCTAAAGGCTGTAGTCAAGAGTTCGGTGTCAACTACAAAGAAACGTTTTCACCAGTGTGCAGATACTCGACGATTAGAACGCTGTTAGCTTTGGCAGTTGAACAACGTTTATACCTACATCAAATGGATGTTTGTACAGCCTACTTAAACAGCAACTTGAATGATGAGGTGTACATGAAACAGCCTGAAGGTTATGTCAGCAATAAACATCCGAATCGAGTTTTGAAGCTAAACAAAGCCATTTACGGCCTCAAGCAAGCAGGCCGAGAGTGGAATACCAAGCTAGATGTTGATTTGAGAGAGATCGGGTTCCTGCCTTGTGTATATGAGCCATGCTTATATATTCAGCGCATACATGATAGCTTATGCCTGGTTGCAGTGTATGTCGATGACATAATTATAGCGTGCAAATCGAAAGATAACCTACTGATGATCAAGCACAAAATATCGCAAGCATTTGAATGTATCGACAAAGGCCCATTGCATCTATTTTTGGGGATGCGTATACAACGCGAAGGTGAGCTTTGTGCAATTACTGTCGACCAAGAGCAATATATCAAAGATTTGTTGGCCCAACATGATATGGAGCATTGCCGTTCAGCAGCTACACCATTGGATGCGGGGTTTTTGATTACGTGCTTTGACGAAAAGTGTGCCAAGGCTGATGTCAAGAAATATCAGGCTACAATCGGAGCATTAATGTTTTTAGCTCTTTCTACTAGACCGGATATTCTTCATTCAATTTCAAAGTAGGCTCAAAGAAACATCGACCCACATAGCGAGCATGAAGCTGGCATTAAGCATGTGTTACGCTATTTGGCATCAACAAGTGATTTTAAATTGCATTACACTGGCTAATGGCGAATCGTTATATGGCTACGTCGATGCAGATTGGGGCGGCAATTCATCAGATCGCCGTTCATATACCGGCTATGCATTTTTCCTTGGAGGT